CCCCCCCCCCCCCCCCCAACCCTTCTCCTATATTTATAAATAACGCAAACACTGATTTATTGATTTTATTCATTTCATATACTTATCTTGGTCCCGCCACATTTTAATTCAGTCTGTGAATATAAAACAACATGAGATCTGCCTTTAACAATGATATGTTCTATAAAGTTAGCGTCTAAGAATAAAAAAAGGATAAAATATCTCCTCAAATGTCACTGCTAAATAATCTGTAATAATCAATGAAATCTAAATTACACTTTTGCAGTCCTATCATTATAGCCCGATACAGTCTTCCAAATCAGTTTATCTTTCTAATACACCAGTGAAAATCTCTCAGCTTGTCAACAAGATGTGTTCGCACTGCAGTCTGGAACAAGTTGTTATCATCTTGTAACAAGGTTGATGAGACGAACAGACTTGCAACAAGTTGTTCCAACAAGTCTGATACCGTTCGCACGTAAAAAGTTGTTAACAAGTCGGCAACCAACTTATTACAAACAGCCTTTATTAGTCTTGTTGGGACAAATTTTGACAAGTCTGTTGTCACATGTTAATTCAGTATAATATTAATAGATTCTTTCTTTTTAAAGCTTAGAAAAAGAGCACACGACACAAAAATTCTGTCACTTTTATACTTCGATTCAAATACGAATATACTAAAAGGAACCCAATTTTTATTTCATGTGCCCATTATTCATTAACAAAATGTTTTCCAGACGAAAATATTAAATATACGTACACAGAAATAGTCAATCGAAATAAGGTCTAGAAACTATAGACGTATGCCTAAGTCTCTATAATGAGCTTTAATTTCATTTTGAAACAGGGCCGGATCTAGCCTCATCTGCGAGGTTTGGTGCAGGTTTTCCATGGGGTGGTGCATGAGGGAGCCTTACTGCCCACTCTCCTCTGCCGTCTGCAACGCTACTATCCTAACATTGCATCTGCCATCTGCATGTTCGCCGTTCTGTTACGTTTTACATTATCTTTTGTTTATATAGTTCATTTGTAGCACAGTAAATTTGCGTGTTAAAGTACAGTATATTTAAATAAACCAACCACTAATCGCTATTCGAAAAGCAGAAATGTATGGTCAAGCAGATTTTTTAGGCTGGTGCTAGACTTCTCTTAGGAGGTGCTAAACAGCACTAAGTGGGGTGCCCCCCCCCTTTCACCACTAGGGTAGATCCGTCCCAGATCTAAACATGGAAAAAAAGATAGAACAAAGATTTATCGCAGAGTTTCTAGACCATATCTCTGTTGATTATAGATTGGGTGGCAGGCCCTCAATTTTATGGGGGGGGGGCTGATTTGCAGCGGGCAGGATTTTGCCCGTCCGCTGTATATCAAGCCTCCCCAAAAAAAATTGAGGGCGTGCCACGCAGGCTAGGTTGATTACGAAGCATATCAATATATACTACACGCCTTCGCGAGTGCCATGTAAAGTTAACCCATAACGCAAAAATACGCCAGAACAAGTGGAACCTAGGCAAACTATCTCTGGATTTTCATATCCAGCATTAACCTGCACTCTTTGAATCGGTTGTTCCTCCGTAGCTACTTGAACTTTCCTTATCATATCGGCCCTTTTCGAGTCTTTCGGATTCTCCAGAGTCGAGGCGAGAGGCACTTTCCACCGTTTGATTGACTGGGAACTAGTGACGCCATTGTAGTTGAAGTTCGAGGAGTACTGGGGAGAGGCACCGAGGGCATCCACGGATGATGAATTCAGATGGTCACGGCGAACTCCGGGTGGGTAGGGAAAGTCGACATGAGGATCCTGAGATGTAAAGTTTGGTGAGAATGAAACTGATAAAAACAGGCTGTACTGGATAAGGACAAGGAGCGGTCAATCGGTCGTTATTTATGGGGTCGGACCGAAGAGAAAAGGGTTGGGTAAACAAAATTTTGAGTGAGTAAAAGGTTGGGTAAATGAAAAACAAAACAACTCAAGGGTTGGGTAAGAAAAATTTATAGTCATTTCCAAAGCATGACTCACTCAAATATTGAAGACTAAAAAGCAATGTTAACAGTCATATGTCAATACAATATGTAAATCAATCAGAGTCACTATCTTGATCACATTCCGATTTGTCAAGAGGCAAATGGTTGCTCGGAAGAAAGTACATGTGCAGACAACATGAAACTTTTACACTGCAGAAAATTGCACAAGCAGTTATCAAACTCATGTCACAGAAGTGGTAAAGGACATGTGTGACAACTGAATGGTATCCTTTTGTAACGTTTTTGGCCAGAGGGGTGGGTATTTATTTTTTAATTGATATTTGAGGTTGGGTAAAAAAATTGACTTTTAATGGTGGATATCAGCAAAATGTTTATCAAAAAAAACATTTCTCTTCCGAAAGTATAAGACCGGGACGAGAAATCGCTCAAACTGGTCCGAAGTCATTCGAACGAACGATCAATACTGACCTTGGTTTTCATTTGATCAACGAGATTTTGTTGTTGTTTAGTTTGGTCATCAATGACTTGTTGTTCCAAATCTTCGACGTCGTGTTCCTGTTTACTTGTATCTGCATGAAGTGTGCCATATCCTGACACCATCCGCTGACCATTATCATCCAGTGGACTATCCGTCACCTTCACTTTCCAAAGACCTTTGGGATTTTCACCTGAAAAAAAGGCGGTAAAATTCTGGACATAACTTTCCTTCTGTACTAACACTATACCAATAGGAGATGAACTGATAGGGCTATCCAGTGTAACTAAAGTTAGTTTAGTTTAGGTTTCTTCCTGTAGTAACACTGGATCAATCGGAAATGATCCTTGCTGGACCTTTATGAGAATAGTTTAGAACTGATAGAGCTTTCCAGTCTAACTAAAATTGGTTAAGTTTAGGTTTCCTCCTGTAGTAACACTGGATCAATCGGAAATTATCCTTGCTGGACCTTTATGAGAACAGTTTAGAATTGATAGAGCCATCCCGGATAATTAAAGTTAGTTTAGTTTAGGTTTCTTCTGGATCAATAAAAGATGACCCTTGCTGGACCTCTAGGAAGAACAGTTTAGAACTGATAGAGCTATCCAGTATAACTACAGTTCGTTTAGTTTAGGTTTCCTCCTGTAGTAACACTGGATCAATAAGAGATGACCCTTACTGGACCTCTAGGAAGAACAGTTTAGAACTGATAGAGCTATCCAGTACAACTACAGTTCGTTTAGTTTAGGTTTCCTCCTGTAGTAACACTGGATCAATAAGAGATGACCCTTACTGGACCTCTAGGAAGAACAGTTTAGAACTGATAGAGCTATCCAGTATAACTAAAGTTAGTTTAGTATAGGTTTCCTCCTGTTATAACACTGGATCAATCGGAGATGATCCTTACTGGATCTCTTTATGAGAACAGTTTAAACTTTAGAACTGATAGAGTTATCCAGTACACCTAAAGTTAGTTTTGCAAACCTACCCCAGAAGTGCACAGTCATGAACTTCCAGTCATCCAAGCCCTCCTTAGAATCATCATAACGTCTCGTAGACAATAGCTCACTCTTTGTTCCCGAGGGTGAGATGAGAAGTAAACTGAGATCTCCGCGACGACGATGGATAAAGCTAACAGTTAACACCACATGTTCTAGTTTATCCACCTGATTATCGCCACCGATACAGGCGTCTGACGAAAATTGGAACTCCATACTGCCCGCAGATGGTACGTCCCTAGAGATGAAATGAACAATGTTTCAATGGGTGATTCGAGCTATTGACTAAAATTTTGATCAAGGCAAGAAGAACGACATCCAACAGCACAGCTAGAAAGAGCGTCTTAGAATGAGTAAAACTGCAAAGATTGGTTGCTAAATGTTGTAAAATGAAGAAAATATAGCCCTGTGAAGTTCACAAATTTTGTATATATTTGTATTACGCGCGTTAAAAATAACCACTTTCGGCTCAAAAAATAGTCATTTCTCCATTTAACATACCAGCTTCTCTAGTTCAGGACTAGGCTACATTTTGATTTATGCTGGACGAAGTTACAGTTAGGTCGGACACCAATTCACCAGCCCTTACCTTTGTTTATCGAAGACTTGTCCAACACATGTTTTGTGAGGACCGACATTGGTCCAGGTTTTAACTCGTTCAACCATCTTCGCGGCGTCCATACGTCCAAAGCCGAACTTATGGTTGAAGTGTTTCCCGGCTCCGTTTTTCATCCAACCCTCGTCCACAGGACTGGTCATCTGTGCTGTCTCTACAATCACGTGCTGCATATCTCGCCATGTTAGGTTGGGACTGTATGTAGAGAGAAAATATGTAAGTGATTTACATTTGAAAATCTTGAATCTCTATAAAATTAATGACTATCTACATAGACTAACTACACAACTACATGTAAATATACACTGTATTTAACAAAGGAGTTTCTATGTGGAATTGTCTTGATGAAGAAACTGAGAATATTAAATCACATTTTTGTTTTAAGAAAACGTTTAGGAAAATTCCATTACTTGATGTCTAGTTGATGTAAATATTTTAGGAATACTAATGAATGACATTGCAACATTATGTACAAAATATATTTCTATATCACTGAATACTGTAACTATAGGGGCCTCGTCATAAAAGTCCAACAGGATTTCCAGAGGTCTCTAGCCCGTTATACTCACTGAGCTATAAATGGTTATACTATTCTTTTAATTATTCAATACTTGTAAATATTTTTTGTGTGTAAATAAAGTATTATTATTTATAATGTGTTTGGTTTTGCTAAAACTCATGAGGAGTCCATCTTTCTACTGCCAAGAAAACGCGAAACTTGTTAGATATGTAACTTGTTAGATATGTAGCGTTTTGGTTTAATCCTTAAATGTGGGAAAGAGAATCTTACTTGGCTTCCAAAGTTAGAGAGAATATTCCAGCAGCGATAGGAGCGGCAGATGATGTCCCTTTGAACTCCTCTGTACATTTATGAAACAAATCTGTCGTGATCTGCGAGAAGTAACAAAACATAAATACCTTGGCATGCCTTTAGGTGCGGTCTGTGGCTATAAAGTAGGCCTGTTTTCGGTATATCTTATAGCCAGTGGCTATAATTCAAACAGCCGTTTCCTTTGCTGTCCGTTATTTTTGCCCCATAATCGCGTGATTCCTTAGCGCGACGTAATATTCCCGCGTGATTGCAAGACCTGAATACATGCATGTAGCTATATGATTTCACACTAAAAATTTTCAATCTGAATTGAGTGGAAAGTTGTCACTGTATATATTAGGAATGGGATATTTACCATTTTATTTTCCTCTCTTTCTCGATGTGCTCCACCATTGAAAGTGACAGCCAAAGTGGAAGCACACAGTTCGGTATAGTAGGTGGACAATCCGTGATCACTGATACAGCCAATAGAAATGGTATAAATACTCGTTGTATATCCATCACAATTGCAGTCGTCGTCTGTGAGACCACCATTGCCTGTTGCCCAGACATAGATATTCCCTTTACCTTTGCGACCCTACAAAAAATATAGGTCTTTTGATAGATAGTGGCGTATTTTAACCTAACACTGGTCGGTGTTACATGAGATGCAAATGACGGTCAAAATCAGAAGCGCTGATTGCAGCTACAATCTCATAAATTGTTAGCAAGATGTGTTCGCAACAGGCTTGTAGCGAGCTTGTCAACAAGTTGTAACAATGCTGTTGTTATGTTATCAAGTAAATTGCTACAAGGTTGTCACTCACAAGTTGTTGTCAAATTGTTCGATTACAGGACATAACAAGTTGTTGGAAACAACTTTGTAATAAGTCTGCTGAGCTGAACAACCTTCTAGAAAGCTTGTCAACAAGATGTGTTCGCAACAGGCTTGTAGCAAGCTTGTCTACAAGTTGTAACAATGCTGTCATTTTATCAAGTTGCTACAAGGTTGTCACTCGCAACTTGTTGACAAATTGTTGAATTGCAGGACGATAACAAGTCTGTTGAGCTCAACAACCTTGTAGCAAGTTGTCAACAAGCCGTTAACGACTTGTCCAGAAGCTGGGAACAAGCAGTGCGAACACATCCTGTTGACAAGTTATCGGAACAGCATTGCTACAAGTCTGCTGCAGTTTGTTACAACTTGTGCGTTTTTACATGTGTAACTAGTTCCTCACCATCGTCGCTCCTTCCCTCAAGGCTTTTCCAGCCAGGGGTCCCGGTTTGCCAAACGTCTTCCCATCGTCCTTGGGTCCCCAACAATTGACATAAACATCAATGAGCTCTCTGCCAAAACTCAGACCACTCGCTTCCAACGCGTCTGTTGCTTTGCCATCTAACATTCGCACACCTGGAATAATCAGAAACTTTTTAATATTAATTTTATTACGTTTAAGAGGGAAAGAGCAATATTGACATATTTACCATTAAGGTATTCTTCCCTATGCCAAAGACACTATATATAACTATATATGACTGTACATGTTTTATTAAAGGAATACCGAATGGTTTTCCGTGCAGGATTTCGTGATCCATGCACGAGAATTGGCGCGAGACTTTCGGAAAGCGTAAAAATACTCGAGCCGCAGGCGAGTGTATTTTTACGCTTTCCGAAAGTCGAGCAACATCCCAAGTGCATGGATCACGCTATCCTGCTAGGAAAACCATTTGGTAATTGTTTTATAAAATAACTACAGTGAAACAATGACATTTTGTGAATCCCGCAAAAATCCCGCGAAGGCATTTTAATTCCTCGTGCAGGATAGCCTGATCCTGCACGGCTATTAACCAATCAAATTGCGTGTTTCACTGTAGTTATTATAT